ACTCATGAGGGATCTGCCTGTGTGTCCCAAGCACTTTGCACTAGGCTGAGACTCCCCACATTGCCCCATTGGATATCAAATTTCATGAGGTTTGGTGGGGACAAACAAATCAGCCAAACCACAGCACACTGGATAACTTCCCCAAACGTTTGGCCAGTGACTGTGGCTCAGGAGCTGTAATTCGTTCTTTGGCAGAGCCACTGCAGAAAGGGGCATAAGCTGCTCTCACTGGATGCTTGGAGCATCTAAGTGACACAAAATTGCACTGTTTACTCCTGACTGTTTCTTTAATCACCAAGACACCATTGTCATTATTAGAATTGTTATATGCAGTCATTGTCTGTTTGTATTTATCCATGCTTATGAACTTACTCAATTACCATTTCTTCCTGTATCTATCTGAGATTATCTTTCTGTGATCACTTTCTATCTTCCCAAAGTAGAGTCTTTCCGTGTTCCTTTAAGGTGACGTTCACTGGTGTAAACACTGATACTTTTCTGGTTAGAAACATGTTTCTTCGGGGAATGGGATCTCCAGGAAGCTGACTCTGAGATGGAATTTAGTGTGCAGGATATTTTTGAGGATCAAACCCTGAGGAGGGGACAGAGGAGGCAGGAGTGTGCAGGGAAAGAAAGGCATCCTTATCGCAGGTTCAACAAAATTCTCTTCTGAAACTAAGGGAAGCTCTGAAGGTAAAAGTGTGTATCAGAGTTATTCCACCTTGGCCAGAGCAAGTGAGACATTTATGTTCCCTCCTGGAGCAGTTTTTGGATGTGGTCCATTTTGGCATGTGTGTGATCTTTGGCAGAGCAGCTCCTGCGCCTCAGGTTGTAGCTGAAGGCACTGATGGCTGATGAGTGGCAGGTGACTACTCTCCCAACAGCTGAAGCAGCAAGTCTGTCCTGGAAGGGGGCTTTAAGCAGTCCCCCTGCATGTCTATTTCATCCTCCTTCCTAAATGTTTCTTTAGCTGGGAATGCAACCCCAGGATGACAGTTACTGTCTCTCAGTGCTTGCTTTTTCTTTATTTGTTGATATCAAGACGTCTGCTCATGAGCTATTCGGTATGCCTCTATGGGCAATGCATCTATTTTATGCTATTGTATTTGTCTTCATTATTCTCTATCTTTACTATGATGTATCCAGTTGTGCTTCCTGCACTTAAGGAATCATTTCTCTCATTAAATTTGGAACATTATCACCCATTATTTTCCACAAATTGTCCAATCACCCTCTTTTACAATGTCTATGAGATGTACTTTGTACGTTTTTATTCCCTTCCTTAGGTCTCTTCACCTGTCTTTAACATTTTCTTTCTGTTTAACTGACTAGGGGGAATTGTTCTAACCATGTTTTTATCTCTCCATATTTGATGCTTCACAATCTGCCCTATGTGCAACTTCCTGACACACCTTGATCTGGCCAACTACAATATGCCTGAGCCACCTTATCTTGGCCTTCTGCCCCCCTAGTCTCCACCTCCTCTCTTCAGGAGAAGCCCCCTTCCCTGGGAGCTCCCTTCACAAATACACACTACTCGATCGAGTGTCCATATCCCTAAATACATGCTTATACAGCTCTCACACCTCATGCCACTGTCTACCTTCCCTAATCTCCCCAGCGCCAGGTGTCAGACAACTATGGGCTTCCCCTGTGTCCCATATCCTGCTGAAATTATTCACAACATCCAGTTCTCCACCCGTATGCTCTGCTTCAGCCATTCCTACCCTCAAAAACACAGTAAAGGAGGGGAGGATCAAGATGGCGGACGAGAAACACCGCCAGAAAGAGTGTCTCTGCAGAAACGACAGATTCTAGCAGAAATTAGAAAAAAGAAGCAAGAAGGCGAGCATACAGCAGACGATGGCCGGAAGGAGGGGTACCTGAGACCCTGGGAGACTCCACGGGAGGAGGCTTCAGAGCACAACTGGAAGCTGAGACCGCCGGAGCAGCCTGGAGACCAGTGGCAAGGGTAGGTGGATAAATCACCTTTCCCCTCCCCTAAATTTCGGACTGCTGGTGGGCTCCCCAGCGGGTGGAGATACCTGCGGACACCAGCCCAGAGACAGCCGCTGCCAGCTAGCAGTGAGCCTGTAGCAGACACGGCACCAGACTCCCAAATCCCTGTGCACCTCCATGTGCACAGACCCGAGCCGCGTGGCAGGCGCCATATTGCCTCCTTCTCCCCTCCGCCGACCCTACCTGCAGCTTCCCAGAGAGACAATACAGCCACCAGCCGGAGGCACCTCCAGGGAACAGGACCTTCCCTTTTGGGACCCTACAGCTGACTAAGGGGAACTCAGACTGTGAGCTCCCTACCCTCCAGCCCTCCCAGGTGCTGCTGGCACGGTGTTCCCAGGAGAACGGTGCCGACTCAGAGGCTGAGAGACACAGACACAGCTTGGGCTCCCTGTGGGTGAATTGGGACCCGAACTCCTCTCCCTGGTGGGGATACAGTTTGAACTCTGGGACCCAGAGTTCGGACCTGCAGACCAGATCCCGTGCACTGAGGTCTAGCATTGCCTGGGGCACAGAAGGGATATTTGTGAACAGTTGCGGAGGTGTGTGTGCCTCCAGGGGCAGATCAGCGTCCTAGAGGGCTACCCTCCCACCAAAGGGAGGCCGTGCACCCAGCCCAGGCAGCGTTTCTGCGCAGGGAACCTCCCCGCAGGCATCACAATCCAGGGAGGCCTGGTGACGTGTGGTCTGGCCTGCTGGCAGAGGCCCAGGAGTAGCTGCAGAGTTGGGGAGGGTGGAAAGAAGCGAGGCCTGCTCCAGACTGAGGGTCACAGACAGCCCCACCCCCACAAACAGACTTTCTGGCTGAGCGGGACCATTCCAGCCCTGCCCTGACAGCTTTTTCTGGAAGCACAGAACAGAACTTTGACCCCTGCTAATGGCATTGGTGGTGCCTGAGGGCAGGCTTACCCAACCCAGCTCCACCCAGAACAAGAGCTGATAACAGGACACAAAATCAACAGCATAGCCTGTTTCTCCAAGCAAACGGCACCTACTGACAGGGACAGCATCTTGCACAGCCTTTCCACGGCACCCACTGACTCAATATACAGGGAGTGGTCCAATCTCACCCACAGACACCACCTAACGCCTCAGAAACTAAACAAGGTGTGTGAATACCTAAACAATAACCTAAAGGAAAGAAACAACAACTGATCGATATGGGAAGAAATCAGCGAAAGAACTCAGGAAATATGAAGAACCAAACGGAAAACACACCCCCAAAGAGGAGCACCAGCCCCCTAGAAACGGACACACCCAAATCAGCAACCAAAAAATGACAGAAGAAGAATCCGTATGTGGACATAAAGAACATCACCGAGCTGCAAACAACAACTAATAACCCAACACAAAGAAACCACAGAAAAAGCCTCCAGGATCTGGAAGAAAGAAATGGACACAATGAGAAAAGTTTAACGAAACTCCTGGAGATGAAGAATCAATTCAGGGAACTACAATACCAGTGGAAAGTCTCGAAGAACGAGTGTAGATCAAGCAGAAGAAAGAATCTCAGAGCTGAAATACACCTCCACTAAATAAAACACTCACAAGATTAGGAATCAGAAACAAGGAGAAAAGGAGAAAGCCGACAAGGAGCTGTTAGGATTATGTGAGAAACCTTAGATGTGGATGTCATAGGTTGACCAAAGAGGAAGAAGACAAACTCAAGGTTGGACAACGCTATTTGAAGATGATAATAGCGGACAATTTCCCAGGCCTTTCTCAAAATCTGATTACAAGTTCAAGAAGCTCAGATACCCTGGGAGATTTAATGCAAACAGGGAAGACGTCAACATGCAGTCCATGCAGACTGAGCCAAATATCAACTAAAGAGCCCTTCTGAGAGCTATAAGACAGAAAGAAGAAGTGACATACAAGGGAAGCAATCGAAAAATAACACAGACTTCTCTAATGAGACTTTACAAGCAAACGAGAGGACTGGGGCCCATTTTCACTCTCCTGAAACAAAACAATTCCCAGCTTAGAATCTTCCCTGCCACATAGCTTCATAGTATGAAGGAAATAAAGACATTCTCAGACAAGAGAAGTCTCAGAAGATTCACCAAGAACAAGACCAGCCCTACAGAATACTCCAACACACCAGTGTACTCATGAGACAACATAATAAAAGCTCACCCATATAATAAAACAACAAAACCCAAAGGATTAAGGCAATATTACGAATGCCTCAAGAGAGAAATCAAAGCGAATACAACATCCAACCACAATGATGAACCAGTAATCTACCTCGTATCTATCATTCTCTCAATAAATGTGAATGGCTTAAACTTCCACTCAGAGACATAGCTGGTCTGAATGATAAGAAAATACAGGCCAAGTCTATGCTATCTTCAGGAAACACATATAACCTGCAAGGATGCATAGACTAAAAGTAAAAGGGTGGAGATCAGTATTCCAGGCAAGTGGAAGCCAAAAGAAGGCTGGCGTGGCAGTTCTAATTCCAGACGATTTAGTTTTTAAACCAACAAAAGTAGTGAAAGACAAAGAGGGTCGTTATATAATGGTGAAGGGCACACTTGAACAAGAAGAGATAACAATTTTAAATATATATGCACCCAACTTAGGTGCACCCAGTTTCATAAGGCAAACCTTACTGGATCTAAACAAAAGGATTAATAGCAACTCCATAATCACCGGAGATTTCAACACCCTACTGACGGCACAAGACAGATCCTCCAAACAGAAAATTAATAAAGAAATAATGGACTTAGGGGCGGGAGGGGCGTGCGGAGGAGGCGGCCGGTAAGGAGGCCGCGCGGTGGGGCGGGCGGTCCCTCAGCTGGCTCGGACCGGCGGGTCGGGCTTGGAGCCAGGGGCGGAGCCAGGCGACGGCCCAAGCGGAGGAGAAAGGTGGCGGCGGCGGCGGCACTGACGGGACCGCGCGGCAGCTCCCCGCACTGACCCCGCTCCCCCGCCAGGCCTAGGCACGAGTGGGAGGCAGCGGCGAAGAAAGAGCGAGCATGGCCGAGACCCCGCCGCCACCCGCGGTTGGGGCTGAAAGTTGCAGCGAGGAGCCCGCGAGCGGCGGGGAGCTGCGGCCAGAGGAGCTGCGCCACGCTGCCGCCGGGGTCACGGGGCGAGAGGACGAGGCGCGGCCACAGCCGGCCTCCCCCGCAGGGCAGTCAGAGCCCGACTCGCCGGTATCCGCCCCCTTCTTCTTGCTCTACCTGGGCGATGGAGGCGCCGGCTTCGCAGCGCGCCCGCCGCCGCAGCAGCGCTCCTGGAGGACCCCGCCGTCGCCGGGCTCCCCGCTGCCCTTCCTGCTGCTGAGCTACCAGGGCGGCGGCGGCGGCGGCGGCAGCGGCGAGCAGCATGCTAACTATCTCGTGGCTAACGAACGCATGAACCTGAATAACATGGCCAAGCTGAGTATTAAGGGCTTGATTGAATCAGCTCTGAACCTGGGGAGGACCTTGGACTCTGACTATGCACCTCTCCAGCAATTCTTCGTGGTGATGGAGCACTGTCTGAAACACGGCTTAAAAGCTAAGAAGGCTTTTCTTGGACAAAATAAGTCCTTCTGGGGGCCGCTAGAACTGGTAGAAAAGCTTGTTCCAGAAGCTGCAGAGATAACAGCAAGTGTTAAAGATCTTCCGGGACTTAAGACACCAGTAGGCAGAGGAAGAGCCTGGCTTCGTTTGGCATTAATGCAAAAGAAACTCTCAGAATATATGAAAGCTTTGATCAATAAGAAAGAACTTCTCAGTGAATTCTATGAACCCAATGCTCTCATGATGGAAGAAGAAGGAGCCATAATTGCTGGACTGTTGGTGGGTCTGAATGTCATTGATGCCAATTTCTGTATGAAAGGAGAAGATCTGGACTCTCAGGTTGGAGTTATAGATTTTTCAATGTATCTCAAGGATGGGAACAGCAGCAAAGGTAGTGAAGGAGATGGTCAGATTACTGCAATTCTGGACCAGAAGAACTATGTAGAGGAACTCAACAGACACCTGAATGCTACCGTAAATAACCTCCAGGCAAAAGTAGATGCATTAGAAAAATCCAACACTAAACTGACAGAAGAGCTTGCAGTTGCAAACAACAGGATTATTACCTTGCAAGAAGAAATGGAACGAGTTAAAGAGGAAAGTTCCTACATACTGGAATCCAATCGGAAGGGTCCTAAGCAAGACAGAACTTCAGAAGGGCAAGCACTAAGTGAAGCAAGAAAGCATTTGAAGGAGGAGACGCAATTACGATTGGACGTTGAGAAGGAACTGGAGATCCAGATCAGCATGCGGCAGGAGATGGAGCTGGCCATAAAGATGCTGGAGAAGGACGTGTGTGAGAAGCAGGACGCCCTGGTGTCCCTTCGGCAGCAGCTGGATGACCTCAGGGCTCTCAAGCACGAACTCGCCTTCAAGCTGCAGAGTTCAGACTTAGGCGTAAAATAGAAAAGTGAACTAAACAGTCGCTTGGAAGAGAAGACTAACCAGATGGCTGCTACCATCAAGCAACTGGAGCAAAGATTGCGCCAGGCTGAGCGAGGCCGCCAGTCTGCTGAGTTGGACAACCAGCTCTTCAAACAGGATTTCGGAGACAAGATCAACAGTCTGCAGCTGGAGGTGGAGGAGCTCACCAGGCAGCGGAACCAGCTTGAATTAGAACTAAAACAGGAAAAAGAAAGAAGATTTCAAAACAACAGGAACATCCCAGGGAAGGGTTCTCAGAAGCCAGAACCCAAGATGGATGGGAAGCACAAAATTCAAGAGGAAAATGTTAAACTAAAAAAGTCCCTGGAAGAAAACCACAGGCTGCAGTCTCACCCTATGGATGAACAGGATCAGCCACTGCTCCCTGCAAAGCCACAGGTGTGTCAGCTATGCCACGAGGACGGCAGCCCATCAAAGAACGTGTGTAGGAACTGCACAGGAACCTTCTGCGATGCCTGTTCAACAAATGAACTGCCTCTTCCTTCAAGAATCAAGCCTGAGCGAGTTTGCAATCCCTGTCACAAGCATTTGATGAAGCAGTATTCCACCAGCCCGTCCTAAGACTGGAGGCTGAGACCTGGACCCGCATGTTCACGCAGGGCCATTCTCCACCTGTGTTAGACGTCAGCGTCCCCTAGTGCCCAGGCCTTAGAATCAACTACACGGTTGACAGGAATGATTTAAGTAAACTAGGTCCAGGGAGAAAGGCAGGTGGGGGTGCTAGAAATTTTGCTCATTTTCCCTAATGACTGTATGAATAAAAGTTACTCAGCTGAGCCTTATAACTCTAAACAGCCCCACTTTGAAGGGTGTATTTTATAGCCTATCTTTGGAAAGGCTATTCATTTTTATGAGTAGAGTTAATACTACTGGGAAGTAACAGAGTCCAAGCAGGTAAGAATAAAAAGGAAGATGATGGTCTCCCTGTTGCATTTGCAGAGTCAACGGAGACAAAGATATAAATGTTCATTGAGATCAAAATGACAGATGTTACATATTTTCCCAGGTGCTGTTAGACAACTTTGTTTCCTCTTCACCCCCACCAACTACCTCTTTAAGTATCTCTACCAAACTGTGAACCCAAACTCAGGGAAAAGAAACTAAAGAATAATATAAATTCTGAATGTATTGAAAACAATATTGTAATATATTATAATTTCAGGACCAGAATATCCTGGTCTTGGCCTACAAAGGTTTTCATTATTAGAAGAACATTTGTCATTTTTCTATTTAATGACTTCAAAAGTAACTATCTGCCCTTTTCAGAATCTCCTACCAAAAACCAGCTGGCTCCTCCCTCCTTGTAAATTATAATGGAAATTGTTTTAAAGATAGGGTTTGACTTTTCCAAACAGCAAATATTGTTTAAAACAAAGTCAAGTCAGGGATAGAGTAAAACAAGTTTAATTTGTTGATGGCTGAGAACAATTAGCTCAGACTATCAGATTATTTCTTGAATAAAGGATTCCTTATTCTGAGCCCCAAATCAGAGCTGGTAGACAGGCTTCTCAGAAAGGGCAGTGCAGTCACCCCCATTACCCATGGGGGTTCCACAAGTGCTCAAGTCCCTTACATAAAGTGGTGCAGTGTTTGCGTCTAACCTACATGCTTCAAATCATCTCTGGGTTGCTTACACTACTGAATGCAATGCCTACACATCATTTCATCTGTGTGGCTTGAGCATAGTCCCTGGTGCACTCGGTGATTTAAAGTTTGCTCTTTTGGAACTTTGTGGAATTATTTTTCCACCTATGTTTAATCAGCAGTTGGTTGAATCTATAGATGGATGTGGAGAGCTGACTGTGCTCAAACATCTTAGTAACAAACTCTTTGGGGGAAAGAGGAAGTGTATTCAGCAAGGGAAGGAAAGAAATGGTATATACTATTTTGATTATGTTGCATATGTCTCAATTGTGTGATTAAAACGAAGATCCAAGAAGATACGATTCTTGTGACTAGTTTAGAATTCTGGGGTGGAAACATCTGGAACCATGTTATTTGATCAATTCTGTCTCCTGGAAAGGGCTACAGCCTGGGAAAGAGTTGTTATTCCGGAAGTCTGGCCTGTTAGTGAAGTTGAAGAATACAAGGTAAAAATAAAATTGAATAATTCTAAAAAAAAAAAAAAAAAAAGAAAGAATGGACTTAAACAAAACCCTGGAACAACTGGGTCTGACTGACATCTACAGGACATTCTACCCAAAATCCACTGAAAATACATTCTTCTCATCAGCTCACGGGACATTCTCTAAGATTGACCATATCCTAGAGATTTACACAAAGTAAATCTCAAAAAATTTAAAAAAATAGAAATCATACCATGTACCTTCTCAGATCTCAGTGGAATAAAAGTAGAAATCAACCCTAACAGAAACTCACATTTCTACACAAAAACGTGGAAATTAAACAACCTCCTACTAAATGATTACTTCATAAATGAAGAAATCAAGATGGAAATAAAAAAATTCTATACTCCTACACTGCTGGTGGGACTTCAAATTAGTTCAACCTCTGTGGAAAGCAATATGGAGATACCTTAAAGCGATACAAGTGAATCTACCATTTGATCCAGCAATCCCATTGCTGGGCATCTACCCAAAAGATCCAATGACACTCTACAAAAAAGACACCTGCACTCGAATGTTTATAGCAGCACAATTCATAATTGCAAGGCTGTGGAAACAGCCCAAGTGCCCATCAATCCAAGAATGGATTAATAAAATGTGGTATATGTATACCATGGAGTACTATTCAGCTCTAAGAAACAATGGTGATATAGCACATCTTATATTTTCCTGGTTAGAGCTTGAACCCATACTATTAAGTGAAGTTTCCCAAGAATGGAAAAAAAAGCACCACATATACTCACCAGCAAATTGGTATTAACTGAACAGCACCTAAGTGGTCACATAGGTACTGCAGTAATAGAGTTTGGGCAGGGGGGAGGGGGGCGGGTATATACATATATAATGAGTGAGATGTGCACCATCTGTGAGATGGTCATGCTGGAGACTCAGACTTGTGGGGGGAGGGGGGAAATGGGCATTTATTGAAACCTTAAAATCTGTACCCCCATAATATGCCGAAATAAAAACAACAACAACAACAACAAAAAAAACCACAGTAAAGGTTTGGCTCCCAGCTGCCACTCTCCCTCTGCTTTATAACCCACTCTGATTCTTCCCCATGTAGCCTCCATGGCGTGTCCTGTCCTTTCTCTTTGGAACTGTGAGTTATAAGGTATCTATTCAGGCCGGGCATGGTGGCTGACACCTGTAATCCCAGCACTTTGGGAGTCTGAGGTGAGCGGATCACTTGAGGCCAAGAGCTGGGACCACCCTCAGCTACGGGGTCATTGAAACCCAGTCTCTACAAAATAAACAAATACAGTTATCTGGGCGTAGTGGTGAGGACCTGTAGTCCCAGCTACTCTGGGGGCTCAGGCAGGAGGATCGCTTGATTCTAGGAGTTTGCGGTTGCAGTGAGCTATGATGACAGCACTGCATTGCAGCCTGGGAGACAGAGTGAGACCCTGTCTCAAAAATATAATCATAAATAATAAATAAATTATTAATTCAATGTAAATTATCTCTTGATGTATTGCCCTTACCTTATATACATTAAATTTTCTTTTCATATACTCCAATTTTAAACAAACATTCCATATATTTTCTGTTATCTATCTTTCATAGCACTAATTCTCAGTTCAACTATACCTATGTTTTGAAATACTTATATTGATCTTTTGAACTAGTTCTCTCTTTTCTCATGCCTAGAAATTTGTGGCCTCTTTTCGATGAGTAGTTGCTCCTCCTTAATGTTTTATATACCACATCATTTATTTAAACATCCTAAACATATATTATAATAGTTTTCATTTGATAGTGTCTTTGGAGGCTTACATTTTTAATTGGTCATTTATGCTGAGTGTAGTTTGTTTGAGGATCATGTGCATATTGATGAGAACTTTATGAGACCCTTGTTAAAGCCTCAATTAAAATTATCCCCCTACAGAAAGAATTTGGTTTGGTTTTGTGCCATATCCAGGCTTCCTCCACAAAATTAATTAGACCACAGTGATACTGTTAATATGAACCCCAAAGCTACAAGAAGTCAGGACTGTATTGACAAGCCCTCAAGGGAGACGTTTTTCACCATCCAGACCCCAGACCAAAGGATATTAATTTCTCTGTCATCTCCTTTCACAATAGGAGAGTTTCCAACTTTTCATACTGAAACTATACCACCTTTTAATCAAATATCTTTCAACACAGCCCATGTGAAGGAGTTCAGAGAATTACATGGTGGAGGACCATACCACAGGACAGAAATAGCTAAACCACAATTCTGAAAAAGTAATATCCCTTATAACTGCTGCCACAGAAATTTTGAAAAGGTCATAAGAAACTACTATGAAAAATGATGGACTAACAAATTAGATTTTCTAGAAGTAATGAATAAATGCCAAAGTCATTCTTGCATATGGGTCTCAAGTATATTGTATTGTGCAAGAAGCCATTTTAAGGAATCGAATTCATTAGGATTTTTTGGTTGTGGCCTGGATGTTTTGTTTCTGTAAATGCAGAACTCAAATAGCAGCATTAATAAAATAACTCAGGAGGCCGAAACAGGAGGATTGTTTGAGCATAGGATTTCGAGATCAGCCTGAGCAAGAGCAAGACCCCATCTCTAATGAAAATAGAAAGAAATTAGCTGGACAACTATAAAATATATATGGTATATACAAAAGATTTAGCCGGGCATGGTGGCACATGCCTGCAGTCCCAGCTTCTCTGAAACCTGAGGCAGAGGATTGCTTGAGCCCAGGAGTTTGAGGTTGCTGTGAGCTAGGCTAACGTCACCGCACTCTAGCCCAGACAACACACTGGGACGCTGTCCAAAAAAAAAAATTAAATAAATAAAATACCTTTAAAATACATCATAGTACGACTATGTAGTAAAGCCTGGTACCTGAAGGATGACTGACACACATGAAATCTACAAAATACAGGAAAAACATGGGGGGGGGGTTCATGTTGAAGACCTGAAGGGGAATACAGTATATGAAATATTTCAATTCAGTAGCAAAAAGAGGAAAAAGGATATCAGTGATGCAATCATGATGTAACAGTGTGGTTTGTTGAAAATTTAAATAAAGGGAAAAGGATTTACTGTTTATATAAATAGGTATAAGCATCAAT